TCTCTCACATAACGATATTGTCAGGATTTAGTCTGATAATGTACGTGAAAAAATTCTGTAAACCTGAAAGCATTAGGTAAGCAATACTTAGTCTAATTAATATCACTATCACGATAGTTATTATATTAATAGTTCACATTGAGTCCCGGCCAAAGAGAAAGGAATAGAATAGTTTACTTTTTCAGGTTTTCTTGACCAACATGGATCACACATACCCACACATTTTTAGTAAAATCATTCCACAGGACTACAGTAAGTGGCAGAACGAATGCTTCCAAACGTGCTGTGAAATCCTGACTCTACTGTCAGCTCAGAAAACGACCTCAGTTCTTTGACCAAATGACAAACTGTAGAAGTTTCCTGTTTGGTGGCAGTGGCCCGTTATCATCAGCATTCTGGCGAAGGGCCTTAGTCTTCCTTGCCATTCGCCAGCGGGAGGAGGCGGAGCAGGGCCGTCAAAGGCCGCTGCGGTGTTCATGAGAATCGAACACCCTGCTTGCCTGAGACTCACACTGCTGCAAAAACCCAGGACGAAGGTCACCATTGTCTTCCTAAGTAGCTTCCTAAGACCTTGTTAAAAGCAATGTCACCCTTATTACTGCTCCATCCCATGGTGACAAATACTGTTTTTTGAACAATATGGAGTTTGGGATACCACAACTAAAAAGGAGGCAGGGAATTTAAGAGATGTTGGATGAAATTACAGAGATAATTTTGAAGTTTTATTTAAAAAATTTTTGAGGCCCTGAGGTAATATAGACAGAGAATTGTTATGAGAGTAAAAGTGAGAATTTGCCTTCTTTAAGTAAACCAATTTATGGGACACTTAGGTCATATGTAACAGAATGATTAGATTTAAGATCTTGTGGAACAAGAGTGTTTCTTGTTGGATATACTTTTATAGTGTCTTGTTTGACACTTAGATACGTGCTTGTTTTTCCTTTTAAGAGTTATGTACTTTAAAAGCAATTATTTTTATCTTTCTGAAACATCTGAAAAATAAAATTATTTGAGTTTATAGAATTTAATTGCACTGAATACTTATGTCGAGGGATGCAGTAGATTTTGATTTTTGTTGGCAGGGTCAACAAATACGTAAAAGGAGAGAAAAATCATTGTTTACATTTTATATGTTTTAGTTTTTAATAAAATGGAATTGGATATGGAAATGTGTAATCATATTCACCTCTTTGCATTAGAAAAATGTAATCCTGTTACTTATAAAATTCTCAAATGATGATTCATTGAACAGTGATTTATTCTGGGTTTTTTAAATTTATATTTTTATTGTTCAAATACATCTGTCTCCAATTTCCTGCCACCACTTGCCCCCGCCCCACCCACCATCTCCCACCCTCAATCCTTCCCCACTTTGGTTTTGTCCTTGGGTCCTTTATGCATGTGCCTTGATTTGACCCTTCCCTTCTTTTCGCCATTACCCGTCTCCCTCCTTCCCTTCATTACTCTTGGTTTCTTTTTTCTTTCAGTGTTGCTGGTTATCTTTTGCTTGCTTGTTTGTTTTGTTCATTAGTTTCCACTTGTAGGTGAGATCATGTGGTATTTGTCTTTCAACCCCTGGCTTATTTCACTTAGCATAATGCTCTCCAGGTCCATCCATGCTGTTACAAAAGGCAGTAGCTCTTTCTTTCTTTCTTCTGAGTAGTATTCCATTGTGTAAATGTACCAAAGTGTTTTGATTCACTTATTTACTGATGGGCACTTAGGTTGCTTCCAGCACTTGGCTATTGTAAATCGTGCTACTATGAACATTGAGTTTTTTTGAATTGGTGTTTTGGGATTTTTAGGGTATAATCCAAGCAGTGGAATCACTGGGTCAAAAAGCAGTTCCATTTTTAGCTTTTTGAGGAAATTCCGTACTGTTTTCCACAGTGACTATACCAGTCTGCATTCCCACCAGCAGTGGACTAGGGTTCCCTTTCTTCCACAACCTCACCAGCACTTGTCGTTTGTTGATTTGTTTATGATGGGCCATTCCGACCTGTGTGAAGTGGTATCTCATTGTGATTTTAATTTGCATTTCTCTGAGGGCTAGTGATGCTGAGCATCCTTTCATATGTCTCTGGGCCCTGTGTATGTCCTCCTTGGAGAAATGTCTGTTCAGGTCCTTTGCCCATTTTTTAATTGGATTGTTTGTCTTCCTGGAATGGAGTTATGTGAGTTCTTTATATATTTTGGAGATCAAACTCTTGTCTGAGGTATCATTGGCAAATATATTTTCCCATATAGTTGGTTCCCTTTTCATTTTGCTGATGTTTTCTTTAGCTTTGCAGAAGCTTATTGTCATGAAGTCCCATTTGTTTATTCTTTCCTTTATGTCCCTTGCTCTAGAAAACATATTGGTGAAAAAGTTGCTGCGTGGGATATCTGAGGGTTCCCTGCCTATGTTCTCCTCTGGGACTTTTATGGTGTCGTGACTTATATTTAAGTCTTTTATCCATCTTGAGTTTATTTTTGTGTATAGTGTAAGTCAGTGATCAAATTTCATTTTTTTGCATGTACCTTTCCCAACACCATTTGTTGAAGATGCTATTTTTATTCCATTTTATGTTTCTGCCGCCTTTGTCAAATATTAATTGACCATAGAGAACGGGTTTATTTCTGGGCTCTCTTTGGTTCCATTGATCTATGTGTGTGTTTTTATGCTAGTACCGAACTGTTTTGATTACAGTGACTTGGAATATAGTTTGATGTCAGGTATTGTGATCCCTCCTACTTTGTTCTTCTTTCTCAAGATTGCTGCAACTATTCAGGGTCATTTATGCTTCCATATAAATTTTTGAAATGTTTATTCTATATCTGTGAAATACATCATTTGTATTTTAATAGGGGTTGTATTGAATCTATACATTGCTTTGGGTAGTATGGACATTTTGATGATGTTAATTCTTCCAATCCATAAACACAGTATATGCTTTCACTTATTTGTGTCCTCCTTAATTTCTTTCTTTATAGTTATGTAGTTTTCTGAGTACAGGTCTTTTACCTTTTTGGTTAAGTTTATTCCTAGGTACTTTATTTTTCATGTTGCTCTAGCAAATAGGATTTTTTTTCCAAAAAATCCCAGGATCCTGACAGCTACTCGCTCAGTTCTTTCCCCAAAGCCTCCATCTCCAGACACCCCTCAAGGATCTCATGACCAGTCTGCACCCTCTCTAGCCAGGGATCTACTATCTGTGCCTGCAGTCTGTACTCAGTATCAGTCGTGTGCCCCACGGGGCCAAGGCAGTACCTCCGGGAGGCGGGGCTATTGTGTCCTCTCATGCTTCTGCTGCCCAGGGGAGTGGTCTTCCTGAGCAAGATGGCTGCTGCCATATGGAGGATGATTCAGCACTGGGATCTCGCCAGCTACTCTCTCCATTCTCTTCCCAAAGCATCCATCTCCAGTCTCTCCTCATGTGTCTCTAGACCACTCTGTGCCCCCTTTAGTTAGGAATCTACTATCTGTGCCTGCACTCTGTACTCAGTGGTCAAGCTTGCATACCATCAGGCAGGACAGTGCCTCCTGGGGGCGGGGCTATTATCTCTCCTGGAGGCAGCTGTCACTTAGGAGAGTGGTCTACCTCGACAAGATGGCAGCTGCCTATGGGGAAATGAGTCAGCACCGGGATCCTGCCAGCTACTCCTTCAGTTCTCACTCCAAAGCCTCCGTCTCCAGTTTCTACTCAGGCATCTCCAGCTCATTCTGCCCCACCTTTGCCAGAGCCCAGGTTAAGCGGCTACACATGAAAATTTATGCATTGGCCCTTTAAACAGCTCTTTGCATCTCCAGCCGCCTGTCTCTGGCAGAGAGCAACCCTGCTGCTTTACACAGCTGGCTGTTATCTGTGTACTTTTTGGGCTCTGGTGCTGTAGGCTGGAGATCCCCACCTATGGTTCAGATTCCACTCTTCTCAGGGGGTTCCAACTGGCCATTTAAATATCCCTCTGGCGCTGCCGCCCGTGAGCGCCCAGCCTGCCTTCCTGAGTCTCTACCACACTCCTTACTATTAGGTTACGCTAAAGCAGACTCTTCTGTCCGTCCAAGGTTATAAGGCTCCTCTCTCGCTATTGTTCAGTTGTTTGTTCCGGGTGATTTCTCCACAACTTAGTTGTAATTCCACATTGGTCCTGGGAGGAGGTCAGTGTGACTTACATTCACTCCTCCACCATCTTGAAGTCCATATTTTGTTAAAGAACAAAAATTCAACTGAGTAAATGTGAATCTCTAACTGGCCTTATTAAGTGATTCATGAATTGGGCAGTATCCCATCATGGAACAAAAAAATCAAGGACTGTATTTAGACCGGGACATCTGTTTTTGGTGGAAGGAAGGCAGTCTGGCTCTTTTTTTCTGTGGAAGATGGAGAGGCCTCATATGACAGGTACCTCCTTGCTGACCAGAAAATTTCACACTGGATGACTAAAATTACATGCGTGGGAGAATTCGAAGCAGTAATGAAATCAGGTATTAAATCTAAGTTTGCTATCATGGACTTTAGCACCAGTGGTGTCATTTGGGGCCTGAGGTTTTCTGTTTCACAATTTCAAAGACTGAAAACATCTCTTCATTTCTGTAGAAGTAGCTACTTCTGTTGTAAATTAAATTATCAGAAGTTTATGTGAATTCAGCTGTTTGGTTGCTTCTACTTTTCACTACCATGACTTTAGAATTTGCCAATTTAGAGCATGAATATAGCAGAAAGGGATTGGGCTTTATAATGAGCCCTGGTCTCAGATTCTGCCTGTCTTATACTTGTCGTGGGGCCTGGGCAGCTCACCAAGTCCTGCTAACCCTACCCCATAGGACTGTTGTGAGGATTAAATGTGATGCCTATATTAAGTGACTATTAGAGTGCCCATGAAAAAGTAGGTGCTCAATAAACATTAATTCCCTTCCCTTTCTTCCCCTACCCCCACTAGTTTACTTGTGTTTTTAACGCATCATCCTCTTCCCTGGATTGTGTTGTAGGAAGTTTTCTGGATGGATGGCTTCTGGGAACCCACTGCCATAGCCAGCTCTTCTTCAATGTTTAAGGATTCACCCTGGCATTGAGTAATGAGAATTTTGGTAAGAATAATTAGATAAAGGTAGTATATGGACTTTCTCTAAAGGTCACTTAAATCTCAGCTTCTTCATAATATGACTCTTCTCTAAAGATCTTGGGATGTGACAGAGGTCTGTTCACACCTGGATTGCTCTTATCTTGAAAGTAAATATAGTAGGTTTTTAAACTCTGTGAACAACCTTGATATGTTCTTCACATCTTATAAATGTATTATTTCCGTTACCTCACCCTATTGTTCTTTAAATACCTGTCTCCTCAGTGAAATGTGTAGTCTTTGAGGACAAGGTCTGGTTGTTGCTCATCCCTTTGGCATATACTGAATGAATCACAGATTTTCAGTGGTTAAGGTGACAGTCCACATTGCTCCCTGAAATGCTAAAGCTTCAGCAACATGAAAGAGGCAGACAAAGGAATCAAAACTCTGGGAAGTCCTAAGATAAGTGATGTTTCTAAATCACCAGGAAAAATTACTACATAGTGGCTCTCATGATAGCATAGAATGTCTTCAGGTGGTTCCCTTTCTATCCAATTTTCTTTAAATGATATTCATTTATAATTAATTTTCATATAGTTACATGAAATTAATATAGAACTATAAACCTATATTAGTAACTTATGTTATTAATTTGTACTGTATAAAATATGTTGAACTATTAAAAATGAAAGAATAGAGAAAGATTAAGAACAATAGAAAAAAATTAGCGGTATTATTAGTAAATATGTAAATTTTCTTAAAATTAGTATGTATTAAAAACATATTAAAGAACCTTGCCCACAAGAAACAGAGATGGAGGGGAGGGAGCAAAGAAGAGAAAGTCTCGGTTTATTAATTCTGATAAGGAACATTAATTCTTAAATTTTGATCTAAAGAAATGATAAACCATTAATTTAAATATCACTTTTTAACTAAAAAGTGCAATTTATTTTTCAGAAACCACATTTGAGAAGTACGTCCATCCAGTGCTATTTGTGTTTACTTCTGAACAGCCATTTCTTAACTGAGGCCGGCATTCCTATCTTCATTTTGGGGTAATTTTATCTTTAGGCATAAGTATTATCATGCTAATGGCTGTTTTTCTTCAATATTGTCTCTATTAAATTGGTGTCTGTTCAGTTTGCGTCCACCTTAGGCAGTCGGTATTTGGGGTTCGATAGAGGGCAGACAGCAGAGACCTAGAGGAGGTTTGGTAGACCAGAATACGGGCATTGCCATACTCTGGCAGTGCAGAGAGGACAGTTAACCTCCTGCAGATAAACTGGACCTCTTGGTGTATCAATACACTTAGAAGTACATTCCTTATTAATAACTGGCATGATTTTCATTGCAGTAAAAAAAAAAACACATTTAGGACTCGCTCATGTTATTTTTTAAATCTATTTCTTGGCTCTGACTTCTATCCTTGGAGTCCTATCTTAGTTCATTTGGAAGCATTTCTTTCTTTATTAAGGCCTTTTGTTTTTCCTTCTAATAAACATTCATATTCTCATGCCTATTAACATTTTTATTCTTTCTTAGATGCAACTAGCACACTGCACTGCTTAGCCTAAGAACCCAACCTACAGCTCTATAATCTGACTCAGTTCAGTTTTACTCTACTTTTTACTTCACGGTGTAGGGAACCATACATTTGTGCAGATTAGTGGTTCTCATGCTTTTATAAAAATCATTCAGGGCACAGTTATTTTTCATGAAAACATTGGGAATCATTCCATAGTCACTTGGTCAGTGTATGTGTCTTTTGTCCAGATAGTAAATTTCTGTTTTACCAAAATGAGTCAGTGTATCCAGCCTGGATTAGGTTAAAGTCTGTAATGTTTATCGGTAAAGCTGCTGCAAGCATAGCAATGATGTGAGCAGCATACAAGGGGCATGTTTAATCTACTGTAAATAACATTTGGAGTCAAAATCATCGTATGAAAATGGTTATTGCTTATTTTAAGAATTTTACCTATATATTAGACTTAAAAGTCTAATGAGGCTTCTACTTAAAGAAAATTAATAATTCATTCAAAAACATCTTATGAGCACTACCACCCCTCAGGTATTGTTTTTATTTCATTGTAATAAAGTATGCCCGTTTTTTTTATCAGTTATCTCTTCAAATCAGGCGTTTCTCAAATCTGGGCTGGTCAGTCCCCAAATTAGCTTCAAGTGTCAAGGTTGTCCTATGTGTTTGGTGTTTCTGTTCATCTATAAGCCTGTTGAATGCACGAAGGCAAGGATAACCCTCATCTTTTCACTAGGCAGAATAAAAATCCTTGCTTGATCTTTTGCCTTTTGTATTCAGCAAGACAATGTTCTGCTCATTCCAAATGCTTTACTTTTTGGTTTTGCTTTCAGCTGTATCAGCACAGGGCTTCCTAAAACAGAGGCAAACTGGAATGATGTAATGAGTGATTTGACCCACATTAAAAATCTTATTCAGGTAAGTACTTATTTCCCCATAAACGACCTGGTGTAATTGCCATGGAGTGTGCCTTTCCCTGTGCTTTGCTGCCAGTCTGGATGCAGTCTCCCTTGAGACAGTGATAACTTTGTAGAAATGTGTGAGCCTTCTAAAGCCTCCCAGCAAATCTTTTACTTACAGCTTTCAGATCCTGATTATCTTCCCACTCAGTTTATAAGTGGCCTAGCATGAGGAGCTGTCCGTCACCACAGGCCAGAGAGTCACGTCTTCTGCTAGCGAACCAGACACATTTGTGGCACTTGCAAGGGGAATAGGCTGACCCAGGGAAGGTTCTCTGATCAGTGGGCTCGAGAACCCCTCTCCACCCTCAAGTCACCCAGGGGCCTGGTCGAACCTACAGGGGGCAGAGAAGAGGAACCACTGACAACTGTGTTTAAGGAAGTGCCTTACACTCCAGTAGGCAACACAGCAGTGTCCAGGGGAGCCCCAGGACCATGAAGTGAGCCCCCCTCCCCCATTAGCACCACAAAATCCTGAAAACTGAACTGTCTTTAGAATCCCGGCACACAAGCCCCTGTCCAAACCTGAGTGCCACACTTCATCAGGGCAGCTGCAGGCTAAACCAGAACATTTAAATAGGACCAGGGTCTCCTAAGGTGATTGCCCAAATACCAGGATACAATTGAAAATCACTCATTATGTAGAGAAGCAGGAACATCACAGCTCGAATGAGAAAAGACAACCGGCAGACTCTGAAGCTGCCATGGATTGGATGTCGGAATTATTAGACAAAGATTTTAATGCAGCCATCATAAAAATGCACCAGCAAGGGATTGCAACTATTCTTGAAGCAACTGAAAAAAACCAGAAGATCTTAGCAGAATAATACAACACGTAAAAGGAACCAAATGGAAATTATAGAAAAGAAAAAGTACAATAACTGAAATACAGAACCGCTGATGAAATTATGTAGAACTACACACAAGCACACTTTAGTGCACATAAAACTAGTGAGATGTGAACAAGGTGCGTGGGTTGTAACAACATAATTTTCTGGTGGTAATCTTGCACTTGGCGATGCCGGATTGAGGGAAATGGTGAAGGGTGCAGAGGGACTCGCTGTGATATCTCTTAACATTGCACATGAATCTAAAGTTATCACAAATAATTTAATTTTAAAAGCTAATTTAATATTGTCAGTAGGTTGTTCTTGTTATAAATAAAATAGTGCATACTGTTTCATGTTTTCTAATTTTGTATCTTTCAGTCTATACATATTGATGCCACGCTGTATACGGAAAGTGATGCACATGTGAGTTTAGTGGTTTTTTTCAAAATCGTTATATTTTCAAGTTTTGAAAAGTCTAAGAAGTATATTTTTACACATTTACTGAAATATGTGTAGTTTTTAAATGTAAATTTTGGTGTGTTCTTGTAACATATGATTGATGAATCTTTATAAGTAATTGTTGAGATTGTAGAACTTGGAGCAAAGAACTACGTAGGTGCTATTTTTGTAAAATATGTAAAAGCCTTTTCTATCAATGTCAAAATATACTATATAATTTTGTGATACAATTAGATCATGATGCGATTAAATGCAAGAATCATATTAACTGATTCCATTTAAAAGTATCCAACATATCAGTTGTTTCCAGTGCTGTAGTTTATTACTGTCTTTAATCATATTTTCTACAAATCGCTTTCCTGCACTTATGGTCCACATTTTGCATGAATCTCTGTAATTGTCAGAAAAGGATTCTGGCTGTTAACTCTTTCTGTGAGAAAAGAAACACACACAATCCAGAAAACCTACCAGAGTGGCTACATTAATACCCCCGCATTGCAGAAGCTACGCATGAGTTCCGCTATGTTGCCGGTCCTTTCCCTATGAACTGGTTACTAAAAATCAAGAAACAAACCCCTGACTTCTTCGTCTCGTGCACACAAACTCTGTTATATACATTCAGAACAGTGAGTCCTCTCTCCTATTCCTCAGTTAGAACATCCCTTAAATGTAAGGTCCCCCCCCCCGCCCAACCCAGGACTTTCTAAACATTGGAAAGAAGCCACAGCCAGACACCGGGAAAAGCAGACATTCATCACTCGCTTGGGTTGGTGCTGTGCACACAGAAATTGTCTTCCTCTTTTGGCTTCAGCAAGTGTTTTATTTTTCTTTGCATTTTTTCTAAGCAGAAAGCCATCAACCACCAACACTCAGAATCCTGAGGTTGCTTGCCTTTCTTTCTTTCCTCCCTCCCTCCCTCCCTTCCTCTCTCTCTCTTTCTCTCTCTCTCTTTCTCTCTCCCTTTCTTTCTTTCTTTCTTTCTTTCTTTCCTTCCTTCCTTCCTTCCTTCCTTCTTTTCATAAATGATAATCTTGCAAATCAGGGGTTGTAGAAAGAAGCTGAAACTGACATTGAAATTTAAATCCTGACTCAGCCACTTCCTAGCTATGTTACCTTGGAAGCCTCTAAACATGTCTGAACCTCAGTTTTATTACTTATTTTATGATTTCCTTTTATTATTATCATAATAATTATGATCCTTTTATTATTATCGTAATTATTATCAACTTGGTGCTCATGTTTGCCTGCTCGCTCCTGAGCAGCTGCTGTGGGGGAAAAGGAACACCTGAGCCCTTGTCCATGGGAGACACGATACGTTCCAAGAACCCCACTGGATTCTTGAAACCATGGATAGTAGTGACCTTTGTATATAGTATGTTTTTTCCTGAATATACCTAAAAATATGTGCTCAAGTTACTTTATAAATTAGGCACAGTAAGAGATGAACAAGTAACAACAAAATAGGACAACTACAACAAAATACTAGTCTCTCTGTCTCTCAAAATATCTTATTGTACTGTGTTCCCTCTTCTTGTGATGGTGCGAGATGACACAGTGCCTGTGTGATCAGGTGAAGTAGGTGAGCGATGTAGGCACTGTGACATAGTGTTAAGCTCCTGTTGACACTCTGACAGTACCTCAGGAGGATCAGGGAGCCATGCCCTGTGAATTATTTCTGGAGTTTTCCATTTAATACTTTCAAACTGTGGACCCCAGGTAACTGAAACCGTGGAAGGCGAGGCCCCAGGTAATGGAGGGGCTGCTGGATGGCCAGGAACAGGCACATGTGCGTGGCCCCCCTTCCATTCCCCCTGGCAGTAGCATGTGCTCAGTGCCAGCAGGGTCCCGGGCACCATGCGAGGCATGGAGAACACACAGTCCAGCAAGGCAGGGAAGGGCACACACCCAGATGTTCATCAAATGCGTCTTTCCTTTTCAGCTTAGGTTTTTGATAAGATAACCCTTGTGGAAAATGTATTTTTGTAGTACCTGAAGGGTAAGCTTCTGACTTGGCCAACCAGGTACTGCTCCTGCTTTGATTTTTCTAATAAATTTATTGGAATCACACCTGCCTCTGAAACTTTGGAACTTGCAGGGGTAACACACCTTTGTAACATGGTGCGCAGCTACCGCTGTTTAAAATGCTGACAGTACAACCTAACTCTAAAAATTCTCTCGCTATCATTGTGAGTGCTTTTGAAGTCTTAGGCCAGTATCATCACCCTGTTTTTACACAGAGAAACTGTGCTCAGTGAGTAAAGGTCACCTCTGATTTCCACGTTTTCTAGTTTCATGTTCTTTCTTCTGCACAATATCACCATCCTTCTCGATTGCTTTGTGGTCAGTTTGTTTCCGTTTTGATTTCAAAGCCAAAAAAAAAAAAAAAATCAAAACTGCTTTCTATGTAAAACTTTTTAGGGGCATTGTGCTTCTTTAAAAATACTTGGAGTGATTTTTAAAGAGTCTAAATTGCATCTATATGGAAATGGATAATGGGGAATATAATTCATTTTTCAAAATGGTCCTTTCTAACTCTATTTTCAGCCCAGTTGCAAAGTAACAGCGATGAAGTGCTTTCTCTTGGAGTTACATGTTATCTTTCAGGAGACGAACAATAAGGTTATTAGAGAAACAATAAATAACCTTATCCTCCTAGCAAACAGCAGCTTGCCTTCTGATGGGGTGAGTTCTCCAATAGTCACAGAGTCACAGCAGATGTTTTTGGCTTGACTGGGAGAAGTGATGAGCTGGAAATAACAGGCAAGGGAGGGGGTTCCTTTCAGCGGAATGGCCTTCCAAAGTGGCAGCATCGCAACCCTAAATGGCTCATCGACTCGTTCATTCCACAAGCATGCACTGCATGGTGGCAGGCAGCATGTTTGGTGCTGGAGTGACAGTGGTCAGCCAGTCGGGTCACTGACTTCATGATGTTTATCACCAGGTGCATTCGGTAGACATTAATCTCATTGCATAATTAAGGGTTTGGCGTGAATAATAGTAATCCACGTTTATTGGGTGATCACTCTGTGCCAGACCCCGTTCTTCGTCCTTTGAGGCTTGAATGGCAATCCACTGAGTCCTCAGCCAAATCTCTGAGATAGTCCTTGGCTGTTTTCAAGGCTGAAGAAGTTAAGCACAGAGAGCTCCCCTTCATGCAGCTAGGGAAATGGGGTCCCAAGCAGTTTCACTTCACAGTTTGTCTTCTTATCGCCTGAAAGGACACATGCTGCAAAAGGGTAATAATAAAAATAAGACTAATCTGAGTATTAATTACCAATAACTTGGGCTACCCCAGGCACCATGAGCAGTGTCGGGGGTCCAGGGGACAAACACTGGGATCTCCCACGGCAGGCTGTGGACCGTCTGTGCAAGGACCCTGCGGTGCCACGGGTTACGGCTTTCGCAGCAAAACACTAGTGGCCAAAGCAAAGTGGACAGAAGGAGTTTTATGAACAAAAAGACATAATAATAATAAATTAGTTCAACAAATACTTTTTGGGCCTTATTGCAGGCCCTCAGAAAAACAAAAGTGAAAGAACACATACAGTTCTGGCTCTTAAAGAGGGTGGAAGCATAAATAAACCCATCGATAAGCAAATGAATATAAGTCAGTCATTTGCTAAATCCAGCGGCCCCAGAAAAGGCTGTCAAGGGCACTGGGATCCCACCTTAGAGAAGGCTCACCGCCTAGGCTGATGTTGGGTGAAGACGCCGGGGAATGAGCCTTGCGTCCAGGAAGCGCGTTCACGCAGAGGCAACTCCAAGTACAGAGCCCCTAAGCCGGCATAGCTGGACAACTGGGACTCTTCCCTGAAATTTCCAGGCTGCTTTAAGTCTTTGCTTAAATGTCACCTTCTCAGTGATGTCACCACTTAACAGTCGCAGTCCCATGTCCATGTCAGCTTCTCTGCATGTCCCACTACCTGATATACTGCATATTTTACAGAATGAATGTTGTCTTCTTTTCCCTAGTACAATGTCAGCCTCATGGGGCAGGCGTTTTTTTATTTTTTTCAGTGCTGTATCCCAACCCCAGGACAATTCCTGGCATATACTAGGTTCTCGATATACTTATGAAATGAAGACACTCATATTTAAAATACTCTTGTGACGTTATCTTTCTTATTAATTATTCATAACAATATCAACAGTCAACTCTTAGGCAAAGTCCGTAGTCACCCTCACCATGACATAGTGCGGCACCTGTAGTGGAAAGAGTGTACAGGACTGCACAGTCAGGAGACCTGGACATGGAGAATTTCATTGATTATGTCAACTCAGATGAGTCATTTAATATCTCCGCCTTCCTATAGGACATGATTATTTTCAGGATCAAATAAGGCAGTGTTATATGGAATGTGGCCAGTGCCTGGCATAGAATCTGTGCTTGATAAATATTGCTGAATCTGAATTTCAAATGCTTTAATGGACGTAAAATCTAATTTTGATCTTTGCTGGTACAGCTTCCATGGTTCAGACGATCTCTAAAAAGTGTATTTATGACTGCTACATTTGGAATATTCTAGTTATCCATGGAACTGTGTTTGGATTACAACAATTTGCTGTATTCACCTAAATAGTTCAATTCAACCCATAATGATTGTGTGAATACTATGTGCAAGGCCCTATGCTGAATGCTAGGGAAACTAAATTACATGGCCTTGTTCTCCTGGAAGAATTTAGAGAATAGGGGCCTAAAAAGCATGAAACTCTGTAACACCAGTATAAAAGGCACTGTGAGGGTGAATCTAACCTGGGGATTCTGAGAATGTAGCAATGGGACATTTAGTCTGATCACAGGAACTCACGAGTTCAAGAGAGTCTTCCTCATGGAGATAGCAGCTGAGTCATCATGGGTGTGAGTAGTAGTAGTTGAAAAAGGAAGTGCTGAACAGACTGAGGGAAAAATAAAGGCAGTGAGACATTTAATAGCATGACCTGTGCATGTGGATAAAGGCCTGAGCTCAGGGTTTCTAGGGCATAATATTTGAGGCAGTGAGGAAAGTGAAAGACCTACGTAAGGAGCAGCTCATGGAGGGCCCATGTGCCTTGCTGGAAGGCATGGACTTCATTCCAGGGTGGATGACCAGAAACCTTGGGCTCTAAGCAGAAAGTCCATAGTCTGATAGACATGACCTTTTTTTCAATGTCTGCAATCCACTATCAAAAAACAAGCCCACATCAAATCTTCCAGTTTCTCCTAACAGGATACTAACTTGCCCAAGTTTTCATGTCTCAAGACCTCACTCACCATATGGTTCAAAAGATGTCATATTCCCAGGAAAGAAATACATCAGACCCTCCACTCTAATCCTTTCTTTTTATTTGGCAGAATGTAACTGAATCTGGATGCAAAGAGTGTGAGGAACTGGAGGAAAAAAACGTTATAGAATTTTTGCGGAGTTTTATGCATATTGTGCAAATGTTCATCAACACGCCATCGCAATGATCCTCTTAAGCGCTTCTATCATTTACAAACAACTTCCCATTGCTTAGAGGCCATGAGACACTTCGCATTTCCAATGTGCTGCCACAACAAGTTTTTCTAGCAAGAAGATGATCGGGATCTTGGGTCAGAAGAACTCTTAGAAATGAAGGCAGACAAACGTCATTGAGTAACATGGTGCCTATGAACTGTCCGCAGACTTATTGTGTTCATTTATTTTTAACTTATTATTGAAATTGTACATATTTGTAGCATAATATAAAATGAATAAAACTGTGTACATATTTTATCCTTTGAAATTGCCCTGATGCTTTACTTCTTATAAGAAAATAGAGGACGTTGGTTCAAGGATGATAGTCAAATTATTTAACAACTACCGGGGCTGGAACCCCTGGTTCAGGTAGATGTAGACAGGCTCATGTTGGGCCATTGACTGCCAGCCTTCTCCACAGCCTTCTTCACACCTTCTTCTCAGCTAGGTGTGGCAGCCACAGGAAGAATTAACTGACTACCAATGAGAGAGGAGGAACTAGGTGTGAAACCAGGGCTTCCCTCTGTCACTCAGTCGTTGGCATAATAAAGAAGTATTATGGAAGAAAGAAATTGCAACCTCCTTGCACATTGCGTGCAGCAGTAAATCTTAGGTGTGGGTGGCAATAAAACCTTCACTGATAAGTAGACTTATATATATGTTGCTAATGGTTGCAATGATTTTGTATTTCACAGTTTCCAAGTACAGGTACTTTAGTTTCACTTTTTTGCCATATTTGTATAATTAACTACTGATTCATTAGAGCCAGCATTTCCTGACATAAAATAATTGCTTATATATTTTTGCAATATGCTGTCTAAAATTTGCAAGCTCTCTTTTAGTGAACTATGACTCCAATGAAATATTCTTGTTTCATCACAAATTTCTTTCAGCCAATGCACTTCTGACAGTCTGCACTGAGACAGACTGAGTGTAGGGTGGGAACTGACCTCCTATGAATTTGTTTTCTCTCATTTCACAGGACAAGCTGGTTCTCTTTGAAACATTCTCTTGCCACCCAGGGCCCCTCCCATGTCATATATCTCATTGTTCTAACTGAGGCCTGCTTCACAACTCCTTTCAAGATAGTTTTGGAGAAATCTGTATCCTATTTGACTTTCAAAGAGTCATGTGCTGGCTGTCAGTTTGCTCCCTGATCTCTGCCCAGACGAATAGTATATGGCAGCCACTCTTTAAAATTTAGGTATTGGGATGATGGCAGTTGTTTTTTGCTTGTTTCTGTGTGTTTTTAAAAATTGTATCTGAGATGAAATTTTTTAAATGTGTATCTACATATAAAACTGTAGTTTTTCAATCCAATCCTTAGACAAAAGTTAGCCTCCTTTCAGTGTTTGTTGGGATGGGCGAAGGAAAATTATAATGGCAGACACATTAGCAATAATATTCTATAATGACGAATCACCGATTCTGGTTATAAAAGTATGCCACTGGGTTTAAAACTTGGCACTTTTCAATTCTCAAAATTAGGATTCCTCCCCCATTAGTTATTTAACGTGGGTCCTGTCAATCAATCCTAAGAAACTCAAGGCATAGATGTGCAGCCTCTTCAAACACTCTTAGCTAAATTAAGAATCAAGTGGTGATGTAAAACATTACATTTGATTTTTTCATTCCTATATTCTTAACCAAATCAGCCTCTCATTTTTGTTGCACAGATCTCCCTTCTGGAGCTGTCCTCTATAATGAACCCGTCCAATGGCATTTACCTAGACCAGTGATTTTCAACTGGGGTACCACAAGGATGTTTAAAACATGCAACACCTGACTATTTACTCAGGGGCACCGACCTCTTTTTCTTAGATTGTCAAATAAAAAAATGACAACAGCCAACACAACAAAGCCACCTGGTGCCAATGAATAAAAAGTATACCTACTTTTTGTCAGCTTGTCAAAAAATATATAAGTTTTGCCGTGCTGTAAAATTTTAGCAATTAGTTTATGTATGCCATGAGACTAAAAAGGTTGGGAAGTGCTAGCCTAGACAAAGATACTGCGCTTATGTCTCACCTGCCCTAAATGCTGAAAGTGTTCGCCGTGTATCATATAATGAAACACAAACTGATAGGCTTAGAACCTCAAATAGTAAAGGTAAAGCTAATAAAAATCAGGTTTACAGTCCAAAGTCCTATTCTTACCTATTTCAGATACAGAAAAAGATGTACAAGGATATATAATTCCTAACCTCTCCCATAATAAGCAAAAAGGACTAGAAGGCAGAGGACCTCGAAATGCAGACAGGTATAAGACAGAATTGGTGATCCCAGAGGTTTTGAAAACCCAGCCACAGAGCTAGTCTTACATACTTTCATTCTTTATCTTAGGACAGAGAAGCAATGGAATTATTTTTTTTTTGCTGCTGTTGGGCAAGAAGCTCATGTTTTGATGTGTTACTATTTATAACCATCAAATTCTATGGCTCATAAGATGAGAGTGACATATATAATATGAAAATCAAGCAATATTCTCCTCCTCCTCCAGACAGAAGTGCTAGAGAGTACATTTTTATTCATTCATCTGTGTTATATCAGGCTTCCTGGAAGCTTTTGCATTTACATGTGAGTCATGCTTAGCATATGCATATCGTGTATAAATATTTGGCCCAGAGGAAATCCCATTTCCAAAGATATTTGGTTCAATGCTTCTGAGTGTGTCTGACGACTGGATTTTGTTTTCAAAAGGAATTTGTTATGCAAGGTAAACTTTAGCTTCATTGAAAAGTCCTGTAATTGTATAATCTATCTGATGCGACACAGGAGAAAAATTAATGAATCATTAATGAAGAGCTGTGATATTTTACTTCTTCGATGCTGGATTTCAAAATAAGTTAACTGAGAGGAACTGAAGAGGAATTTTTATACAGAAGCAGAATTGAAAATTAAACATTCAATTTTTACAAACTTGTCAACATTTTCAGGATTTTATCATCACTCTCACCCTACAGTAGGTTCATCTTCATCACTATCCCTGTTTTCTATCAGTAAGGTAAGTATCTGGTCTGATGGGTTCTGGTAAGGATTTTTCTTTAAACTCCAAAAGAAAGACACTCTTATTCTGATATGTATTAAAAAAAAAAAAATACAGGAGGCATTGTTTCTAGTGCCCAGAGAAGAGTTGAAGTCAATATCTCCTTATCACTAAATCCCAAGATAATAAAATTATTTCTGATAACATCATCTTGCGTGGGCCTCATTATTGCAGTCATTTAATGAATTCTTCGCAACACTTAAGGGAGATCAACTTCAGCAAGTAATTACCTGTTCACTGTTAACAACAACAAACCTGCTTGCTGTACATAGGACGTGAGAGACACAAGGTCACAGGGGTGAACATGTAAGCCCAGCACTGGGTTCTGAGTGTTACTGGTGGAAAGCGAGTTCTTGTGGCATCATGAGGAAAGGGATTTCCCAAGACTCACCCGGGAAGATGGGGCTCCATAGTAAACATTACTGATGATGTGAAATTAAGGGGATTTCCCTAGTGACTTCACAATGGCCCATCCCCATCCATTTCGCCATGGGAAGGTCCAGCCTTGTCTTCAGTAGGGCCAGGATAAAGGCCGTGGTCCAGTTTTAGTTCCATATTAAAGTTCAGTCCAGTCCAGTATCTGGCGAGCTTGCCGTGTGCTCCCCGCTGCAGTCCCTGGCTGTGCCGCTGTATCTAGGCTCCTCCCTGAGCCTGTGGGTAGAGTCCACATGGCTCTGGGCCATGCAGCTGCCACGCCACATGGCAATGGAGAGGGAGTGCATGAGCGCCCAGTGAGAGTGCAGGTTTCAGGAGAGAGCGAGAGACTGCTTCTTTGTTCCCCTGGGATCATATTAGCTTGGGCTTGGGAGGGGCCAGGTGCTTTTTCAAAATGACCAATCCGTTTCCCAAACTCTTATGGGCTATGGATGGGTCCGAACCCCCTAGTCAGACTGACAGGCCTCTTTGGTCAAGTACCTCCCGCAGAGCCCCCAACAATCCTGTCATGGAAAAGGGGAGGGAGGAGTGCTTTTCCCCCCGGGGGGGGGGGGGGAAAGCAACGCTATGCTCCCCTGGGGCGTGAACCTGCAGCTTCCTGATGGAGCACCAGGCTCATGCTCCCCAGCTCATTAAACTCAGCACCCAAGTCCCTTTGCTCCCTTCTCCTCAGTAATCAGCTAAATACCAACAGTAACGTGAGGACAGAGTTCAGCTGCGGTCCACACCTTAACACAGGGAAGCCTTCTTGAAAGAGGGACTTTTTAAATCCTTTTTTTTTTTTTTTTAAACTTTATTTTTAGTGTTGACAATGTTACAGATCTCACCATTTTCCCCACCTTTGCCCACCTACACCTAGCCCCTGGCCCTCTTTCTGCTAGCCATCACCACGCTCTTGTCTGTGTCTATGGGTTATGTATATATGTCTTGTGGCTAATCCCTTCACCTTCTTTTATCTAGTACCCCTCCCCCATCCCCTCTGATAGCGGTCAGTCTGTTTCATGTATCCATGCCTCTGTTTCTATTTCATTAGTCAGCTTATTTTTTTTTATCATCTTTTTTTTTTTATTTTTAATTAATTTATTTACTTTTTAAATACATTTGTCTCTGCCTTCCCCCACCTCTTTCCCTTGCCGCCTCCCACCTTCCCTCCCTCAGCTCTTCCCCTTTGGTTTTGTCCATGAGTCCTTGCTATATGTTCCTTGACTTTCCCCTTCCCTTCCCTTTCCCTGCCCCCCCCTTCCCTCTTGTCTCTGTTGATTTCTTTTCCTTTCAGTGTTGCTGGTCATATTTGCCTTGCTTCTTTGCATTGTTGGTTAGGTTCCGCTTATAGGTGAGATCATATGGTATTTGTCTTTCGCCCCCTGGCTTATTTCGCTTAGCATGATGCTCTCCAGTTCCATCCATGCTGTTGCGAAGTTTAGTACTTCTTTTTTCTTTCTGCTGCGTAGTATTCCATTGTGTATATGTACCATCATTTTTTGATCCAGTCATCTACTGATGGGCATTTAGGTTGCTTCCAACACTTGGCTATTGTAAATTGTGCTGCTATGAACATTGGGGTGCATAGGTTCTTTTGTATTGGTGTTTTGGTGTTCTCAGGGTATAG